GAATTGAGTAAGCAATGCAGAGCAGAAAGAGAAGCCGGTCTTTCCAAATAATAATAGTCTCTTGCATATTGTTAGATATCAATGTTTGCTCGCACAAGACCTTGTTCGGGGCAAAAGACGTCATAAAAAAACTACACAGTGACGCACTGTTGCTTGCACGATGCCGCCCACAGATGTGTCTGCAGCCCCCGCCCACAGATTTGCTTGCTTGCGTTGAAGTTATAGGGCATGGGAACTGCAAAAATGTTGTTTAGAGAGAATCACTTCTTTTCACATTAGTCCAGTAGATTATTTTCACAAATTTTCTTCGCGTCCTACGGCTGGCAAATATAATTCATAGAAACAGATTTACATGACATTCGGTAAAATTCCATTGACATGTGTCTGGAATTTTTGTGACACTGCGACACCGGTAACCAAATTTGTCCAGTGGTTAAGCCAATGACATTAAACAACATGATAGGCAACTCTGACGTCACTCCATAAGACTACAGGCAAAACATTGTATTTCATGATACGCTCCAATGCACATATTTCTCGTCGCCTTTCGCGTCCGTTTTCCGCTCGCTCTTGCTACTCGGCGTGATTTTTACGTATAGTACCTGCCTTTTTGCGCCTGTAACGAAACAAAATAATCTCTATATCTAAGAATTTTTGCTTGCTTGGAAAGCTGGAATAACAGGCAAGCTGTAAAGAGCAATTCTGGACATCATAGACGTTTTTTTTTTTATCAGAGAAGATTACAAACGCGATAGCGGAAAGATTTGTGTGGAACATTTTGCAGATAATGACAAAGTTCAAAGTTAGTAATTTTAATGTTTGCGCTTAAGCATTGAAATTTCATTTAAAGAGGGTGTCATACAAAACTGTGCTGCGATACAATTCCATAACACAAAGTTTGCACCTATCGAACTTGCTTTTGTAGGTGAATTTATTAGACATATTCAGTTAATCGTAGGTAACATTGCTGGTACATAATGCATCGTAGATAGGTTTGTTTAAACTTAGGAATTTAGCTCATAGCCCACTAATTAATATTATCTTCTATGCAGGAGGTTGCAGGGCTGAATTCAACTTGCAGCCTTACCGATCACCTGACGATGCTCATTTAGTTTGGCTCGAGCAAGTCTTCTTGAAATGCTTGTGTGGATGGAAACTACCTATATTTTTTGCCTTCCTCCGATTTTAGACAAATTTATTCTGAGGGATTTCGCATATAATTCTCACTGATTGTTGGCTGTTTATAATTCCTATTGATTGTGAATTCTGATCATAACAATGAGTTGAAAATTTTTTTACCTAATTTACTGGCACCTTTTTCTTGTCAATACTCCAAGCTGAGGTAATAAACATGACAATACATTTATGTCATCTGGAAGCAAAATATGCACACTAATTAATAGTTTGGCACATTGAGATAATACATCATGGCAGAAAATACAAGTTAAAGATATGTATGACCAACACATGGTAATTAAAATTAAAAAAAATTAATAGGGGCTGTGGAGTATGGAAAGTTCAAGACAAAGAAAAGAACAAATGTTCATAGCTCATGAACTCTCAATTTTGCCTCCATTGCTTTGTGAAGGCCAGTATATTTCGAGTGGCTGAATTGGTTTACCTTTATGATAGCAACGATTTTGTATTTAATATAGCGAGATTATTTCAATTTATTTGAAGTGATATAATTTCCCAAAGCAATGCTTGAATCGTCTAGAATAGATCAGTGGTGTCAAACTCATGGGTTTTCGAGAGCCGCATTGCATTTTGAAAATTGTAAAAAGAGCCGCAAACAGTTTTTGATAATGTATACTTAAAAGATATTTTTAAGATGGTTTTAATTTGTGACATATATTGTGATGCAACTAAACAGTTGGATTAAGTTTTATTATTTTCTTCAATTTCAAATGCAATTACATATTAATATTTGCATTCCACTATTATTGCAACATTTGCAAGTTACAGTATTTATTATAGAAAATCGTAAAATTCTATGTACAACCATCAAAATCATTTTTGAACAAGCTTTGAATAAGGAAAGAATAATACATACACTAAAAATAACTTAATCTAAATATATGAACCTAAAATTAACAAAAATACTACAGTATAAACTCAATGTTTTAATAATTACATTTGTCCTGGCGTTTGGCATCTTTTTTGTGTCACCAGCATACTAAGGCCAGTCTGAAATGATTTTATAGTACCAACTCTAACTAACGAGGCCACATGATCATGGGTTTATCTGGATCTTTACGAATGTTTAATTAATTCCAGTAATGCAAAAAAGTTACTTTTATCATTTCATGTATAGATCAGCAAAAAAACAAATGACAGATTTTTTCGACAAGACATTTCGCACTACATTGCGTGGCATAGGATTGCTTGAATTATTATTGATATTGATTTTTAGTAACTAAGTCGTTGTATAATTATATTAATATACAAACACATGGAAATTTTCTGTTCGAAGTTGGTCTTCGAATTTGTCATATTGAATGCTGAGCTTATTGTGTTTTTTGATTGTATTGATGGAAATATGACAAATTAAACAATGTGCTTCAGAATTTTGTGAAGAGCAGAAATGTTACAACTCCCATTTTCTTCGAAAATGCCACCTTCTTCATGTACTTTGCGTTTAATTTAATTACTCAAGTGTTTTATTCAAGTATTCTTTTGCTAGCTTGATGTGTATTCTTAATTGGGTCAAAATGTGGACAAAAAAAAATCAATATTCCAAAACTACTTTCAGTAAATTGTTTTCTGTGTGAATAATCAATTTCACTTTAGAAGGTTTGAAAAATCTATTACATTTAGATAAAAAAACAAAAACTTCCAAAATACTATTACAATTATTGTTAAACGTTCGAGGGCCGCACTGGAAGTTCTCTGGGTCCGCGAGTTTGAGATCCCTGGTCTAGATTGAAGTTGTTCAAAAAATATATGATAGTATTTTATCATGAATGATGATTATACCCCTTCCGGAATTTCTTCTATAGTACTACCAAAAGTTGATGAACCAAATATAACACAGGTGCAGTGAGGTACCCGTAATCCTCATTTCCAAAGCTGTTTTAAGTATGTCTGGCGTGTTTTGTGCCTTTTTCAAATAAGACCGCTTATGCAATCTTACGCTTTGAAATTTTTAGTTATTTTCCTCAAGCCCTGCAGGATGTGGGGGCCATACACAACTCTACCGGAGGGTCAAATGTCTTTGCATGCCTCCATAGGTTGTTTTTCTATTGCAATTTTCTATTTTCAAATGCATTGTATTTCTTGGAATCACACTGTCACTGATATGTCGCCAGACTTCTGATATCTCCCCGTCTGCTATAGTTGTCCTGTGAATAAATAATAGGAAATTGAGATTAGACGAATAGTTGAAAGTTTTGCTTTATGTCGGCTTAATTTCTTGATTGATATACTTACTATTTCTGCTATTGCCTCTTGTGCTGCAAGAGTCTCACAATGCTTAGACAGGTTTGTCCACAACTTTCACATCTAAAGAAAGAGAGGAGATTTATTAATTTTCGTTAAGAATAAATAAAGCAGTCTATATGATTCAGAATGGAAAAGCTAATAAATCCAATATCTCATGTTTTATTTAAAAAATATTTTACTGAATTTGGTATATAAACCAACTAATAAAAGGCTTTAGTCAGAAAATTACAAGCATTCGTGGCTCCAAATACTTGAGATATCAGACTATACAATATAGACCGGTATGAGTGAAATGTTAGGTGAACTTGTTAACACTTTGATTCAATACGCAAATAAAAGTGAATGCGTAATAGTATGTTACAATGAGCAGCAATCAACAATGAGTATATATCCTCACTGGTTAAAAAAATCTAACTGGAGGTGCATGAACTATTTGAAACCATAAGGGGTAAGTAAATATGTAATTTCGGCAAATGGGCAACTACGTACCGTACTGAATTAATAACTTCGTAGTATTTGACAAAGGCTGGCTTTCACACATGTACTTAACAGTGCGATGCCCGGGTGTGATATACAACAATAGTATTCACCTTACCTTTTACCGATTTCTTTTTACCCCAACTTTCAAAAATATCATTAAAATCGACAACAACTGTCAAAGCAGGCACGAACACCATTCGTGCTACGCCTTGAAAGCAGCACACATCCGCTCGTTTTCGTCTCGTCAAGTATGTGCATTGGAGCGTGCTATCGAATACGATCTTCGGACAAAAATGCCGGAGTTGCGCATCATGTTGTTTAATGTCATTGGTTAAGCTAAGATATGGGATAGGATTCACATATTTATTCCAGGGGAGAGGAAAGCCGATAAGTCGTCTTATCCATATGGCGAACCACGGCCTCTCGTCCGGTTACCAGTCCAGGTCGGGGGTATGGGATAAGTTAGTTATTTGTTTTCGGAAGCGTGGACATGATGGTAGAGGCAGCCGTAACCTAGATATGGACCACCAGACATCATGAATGTGACAATGATTCATGAATGACGAAATAAAATATATGAATCTGACGCTTGGACCTGATGTAGGAGGAAGCTGTAACCGATCAACGGTTACGTGAACGGTCACTCTACGGCGGTGAGAAGTCTTCTTGCATATAATTATTATCCCTCGGGATTCTAACCTACGAATCCGCGCAGGGTAATCAGAGGTGCAATGGCAAGCGTATGGATGTTTCGATTTCCTTGTTTATTTCCAAAACAATGGCTAAGCAGCAATAAGTCAGTGATGATGTAATAATGGCAACCGTACAGTGTGTCAGACAATTCTTTCGCTAAGCAGGATTGTGAATATTGGCCTGTTTTAGCAGTTTTTCGTGTTAGTTTTTATTTGTGTTTCAAAAAATTAGTTGTAAATCAAACAATTTAATTTTAATTATGTTTTCCAAGGAGCTTTAATTTAGTTGCAATAATAAAAAATGAGTTCTAGAAAAGCTGTGAGATTTTGGGCTAAAGTTAGCTATGAGTACCTGCAAGTGGCACATGGCGTGGGTAATTATTTTTATATATAAGAATTGTGTTTTGAACACGTAAACTAGTTGATAAGCGCCTGCTCCCTCCTAACACTTTTAAAATAGATATCAAAAATTACTTTGAAGAATATCCTGGGGTAGGAAAAACGTTCATTCCTGAAGCTTAGCACGATGCGCCGCGATTTACATGACATTCGGTAAAATTCAATTGACATGTGTCTGTAATTTTGCTGACTTCGTAATCGCTAAATTAGTCCAGTGGCCCTTTGCGATCAAGCAGTCAAGTGTTCAATTAATCATCAATCGAGTATTGCTCTTCAACTATTGCGAAAATATTCTTCGAGTCAGAAATGTGATCCTGACAAAATGACTGACCACGAAGAAGAACAGAACACTGAGATAGAAGCTTTAGAATCGATTTATTACGATTCGTTCCAAGTAATATCGGAGAAGCCTCGCAGCTTTGAACTAACGGTCACTGTTGAAGACGCCGAGGAAGGTGGGTGTGTTTGATTAGTAAGGATAGGAATTTATATATTTTTTCAAGAAAGTTAAAAAACCGAACGGGTGGCTGATAAATCACATTGCTATTTGAAATAAATAAAAGTAATAGCCAAAAAAATACAATCTTCAACCACTGCTGCGGCGGTGTGGCTCATCATGCCAATATACTCGACACTGCATATCTGATTACCCTGTGTGGGTTTGCAGGTTTGGATCCCATGCGGGGAAGGTCATGTGGGAGAGGATTGCTGGACTCCTTGCCGCCGTAGGGTGGTACACGTAACAGCTGGTCGGTTACAGCCTTCAGTACGGCACACTATACAGATAAGGTGACATTGTCTCGTTTCAAAGAAACCCATTTTACCAATGATCAGACACCCCTCCTTTGGGGGACGTCTGGACATTGTTGTCCCTCAATATCGGTAAAAATACAGTATAAAGAAGTTGCGCAAAATACTACAAAGAAGCGCAAATTTAATGACGTCATCATTGAATTCCTCGGGGGCGAAATAATCCGATTTACTGAAGGAAAATTTTTTTTACCGTGACATTCGAGAGTTTTCAGCAAAAAACGGCAATTTTAGTCACATGACGGCCGCGATTAATTTAGATTATTATTGAGACAAGCATGGCGCGATATGACGCATCTGATGTGGTGCCAGACGCCCCTCGTTTGTGAGACACATTGAGTGTTTGTTTTATTGAACCAAATGGCAGGAAATTTTTTGGAATTTGGATAGTGTGCCGAACTGGCCTTCTCGACCATCAAGTCCGTGCTCCCGAAAACAAATACCTAACTAATCCCATACCCGACCTGGACTGGTAACCGGACGGGAGGCCGTGGTTCAGCATTTGGTTAAGCTGTCCCATCGGCTTTCCCCCGATATGATTATGTAAATCATATCCTATCCCATTGTGCCAATTAATGTATTAATGTTTGAGACTTCATTTTTTCATCCTTGTTTTTATATTAATTATCTCAGATGAGAACATTTTCGCAAAAATCCAATTCACATACACACCGACGTATCCTGACGAAGCCCCAATTTACGAGCTGATAGAATGCGAAAACTTATCAACCGAAGATGGAGAAAAAATTAAAACAATCATCGAAAAAGAAATTGAAGATAATTTAGGAATGGTGATGATTTTTACTGTCGTTACTGCAATTCAAGAATTTTTAAACGACGTCAAAGATGGCATAAAAAGGAGAGAACAAGATGAAAAAGAGAGACATGAGAGAGAATTAGAAGCAGAAGAAAATAAAAAATTTCACGGTACACCAGTTACTGTCGAAACTTTTCTCGTCTGGAAATTAAAATTTGATGAAGAAATGAAAGAATTGCAGAAACTTGAAATGAAAATGACTGAAAAAAGGAAAATGACTGGAAAGGAGCTGTTCCTCTCAGACGCTAAATTATTAGAAAATGAGTTCCTTGAGGGGGAAACTGAGGGAGTAACGATTGACGAGAGCTTGTTTGAGGATCTCGATGATTTGGACTTTGAAGATAGTGATGACCCAGACTTTGATCCTGCTCTGTGCTCATGACACAGTTGTGATTTTTTTCCATATTTATCTGGGGGGAGGAGAGGTTGATAATGGGTGATTGTCAGGTTTGGTTTTTGTGGGGATGGTTGGCCAGTTGACTGTTCCATGTGCACGGACTAGAATGAGCTGTGAACACCCAGTTTGATGCAGTGATTAGAAGACGCTCCATAAGTGTGTGTACTAACATAGAGGTAACTAATTTTGTTCGCCTACTTCACATCAAGATATGTAAAGCGACTGAAACCTATGGGTAGCGGTATATTCACTTGGCTAACACAGACAGTCCCCGAACTCGTAATAGAACTAAAATAAGGAAAATCCGAATAAAATTATGGCCTAACCCTTTTTTCATACTCATTCTGGGGGAGGGAGTCGATAATGGGTAATTCAATCGCAGCCTCTAAGTTCGATGCAATGTCTTCTGGCCCAGGTTTCGTATGAGAATTAATGGCCAGTCGACTGTAACATGTTCTCAGACTTGGATAGAGAAAGAGCCGCGACACTGGTATGCTCCCCAGCTTTTCAATTCAAGGGTGGGGGGGGGGTTCCAAATTTTAAAGGCGGCAGGTATTTGCTTTTAAAGATTAAACTATTTCCAACCTATACAAATAAATTATGTATGACCATACAGCTCTCCATGTAATTGCCTTCTTTGTATAACACGCTTAGGTTATCAATTTGTGTCACAAAATAAGTCAGTTTTCCTTTAGGTTTTTGTGTAAATTTCTGTAAATTATATTTAAAAATGAAGTTTATTTGAAGTTAAACTTATTTTAAGTTTATTTGTTGATATGATTCAAACAGTGGCATGATAATGTAAGATTTTCTCAGTAGAAAACCATGCACAGGTGTTCACAAGTATATGATATGGTTTCGTAAATGTTTGGGACTCTAGTCACAATTCATTCATAGTTTTGAGTCCTCTTAAATTGGGGGGTGCAACATTTTTTGTCGCTGGGCCATATAATCAATTTCAGACATCTTGTTGGGCGACACAAAAATATTAGATTTCACATGTACACAATGTATGGCAAAAGCAACTAATATGAGGGATTGTTATGTCACTATATAATTTTGTAGATAAGCGCTATGAAAACCTGCATCAACGAAATACATCAGCGACAACCAGAGCGTCTCAGGAAAGGGTTCACTAACCTTACAGCAATCAAGGCAAGCGCAAAAAACATGCATTTTCACCCGAGTGCCTTTTAAACTATCGAATTAAGATTTTATGCTTAATGGGGAGAAATCCGAGTGTTGACAAAGGCCACACTAAATAACTTGCCCGGACCACCTGTTGCACACCCCTGCTCTAAATCAACCACTAGTGTGGCTCTACTCAGTGATTGGCTCGACTTTTTGACCTGGATGACACGTTACTTTGGGTTTAGGGGCTTCTGCACCAGGGTTGGTTGGAACCAGTGGTGGGATATATATTTTTTGTCAGCCGGTTCCATCACAAAAGTCATATTTTGTGGTCGGTTCTGTTACATGATTTTTTAGTAATGCTAACTGCTTAGTAGGGCTGGGCATTTTCGAATACCTGATGATTTCAGAATCGAATCGAATATTTTTTTCGAATCTAATCTCGAATACTTGGGAGATATATAATTGTATGTAACTTTCTTGTTTTATTGGGTCCTCCAGACACATAAATTACTGGAAACGTAATATACATCACTCAGACAGATTGCTGAGCGTTCACACACAACAAGAAACACATTTTATCAATAACTCACTACAGAGAATAGTCATATGTCAGAATTGCGTTGAAAAAGTATGGCTTCAATAAAAAAAATTGAGAAACTTAACTCGATAATTGGCGAAAAGAAAAAAAACCGGCCTTTCGAAATTTCGCTCTGAACCGATTCGAATAATCTACTATTCGAATCGAAATGCCCAGTCCTACTGGTTAGCTGATCTCATAAAATTCCGTAAGACGGTCCTATAGAACTGGCTGAATCCCACAACTGGTTGGAACCCCCCTTTTTTAAATGTAAAAAAAAATAAAAAATTTCGGACCTCCTGAAGTATGCGCACCAAGATGGCGTACAACCTAAACATAGTATGTGTGTACCGGTTCGGATTCAGGTTGTGCGACATTTTGGTGCGCATACTTCTGGAGCACCAAAATTTCTCTACCATACAAAGCAATTTTTCGTAGTGAGACCCTCAAGGCTCATAAAAACCGAGCCAGATGATCTATCTGTTTCAGTCTAACTTGGCAACTGGAAATTTGAGAACACCCCCAGTTTTCAAAATCTCAAGTTACGCCCCTGTTCTGCACATTACAGACTCATTCTATTAAAGCAGTGGTTCTCAACCTTTTACTGACTACGTGCCACTTTTGTGTTTTTACTCTGGCCACGTACCACCAACAAAATCCACTTTTGGGGTGGAAGAAACGCGTTATGGGAGATTTTATAATATGGCACTATATCCATTTTTTAAGCTGTCGTGCAGAGTTTAAAGATATTGATCATATGCAGTAACAATGTATTAATTGTGTGTGAAGTCGCGAGAGACCGTCAACTGAGAAGCTTTGATACACCCACCACTTAACCACAGGTTGAGAACCACTGAATTCGTGTAATGCATAGATATAGTCCATATATTTGTCTATCATAACTAGTAAATGCATAACTGGCAATTTGTTATAAACCAGATCATATAAATATATGACTTGAGCTGTCATCAGCAAAACTGCCAGTGAGGTTTGACCCAACAGCGATCTATACACTCGTATTCGGGTACTCCCGTAATATGTGTACTAGGTTTGGGTTGGGCCATAATTTTATTCTGATTTTTCCTATTGTAGTTCAATTACGAGTTCTGGGACTGTTTGTGTTAGCCAAGTGAATATACCCCTCGCACAAAGGTTTCAGTCCTGTTACACAACTTGATGTAAAGTACCGGTAGATGAACAAAATTAGTTACCTCCATATTGGTACACACGCTCCTGCGGCTCACATATTTAATTAGAGCAATGAATGTCAAAGCACAGCTTGTGGGAAGCTGAATATATGATTGCTGCCAATGTTTCGAGCCAATCTTTATAGTTTTGGCGTGCCAGTGATTGCGATAGGATTTACATATTTATTCTGGCGAAAAGGAAAGATGATAAGATAACCCTAATCATATGGTAAACCACAGTCTCTCGTTCGGTTACTAGTCCAAGTCTGGTATTGGATTAGTTATTCATTTTCAGATACATGGACTTGGTGGTGGAGGAATCTGTAACCCACCAGCGGTGAGGTGACGAGTATTTCTAGCGCTTAGCACGATGCGCCACATCACCAAGCCAATCGCGTACAACTAGACCTCTTGCCAGTTGTGTACATACTTTACTATAAGCCCAGCAGCATTATCTGCATAAACAAATCCAAAAATTACAATTTCAACTCCCTAAAAGTTGGGAGGCAGCAGATCAAGTTGAAAGAAAGCTAAGCCTTAAAGCCAGTTTCATGGACGCTGGCTAATTGTTCGTGTCACGCCACAGTGAATTGTGTCCTTCCTAACTGTACAACAGGTTATTCATTTAAACCAGGTGTGGCCAACCCGTGGCTCGTGAGGCGCATGCGACTCTTTTTGACCTGATTATTTCAAGAAAAAAATGATGTTCATTTGTGTTCTTGTTTATAATGTGGCATCAGAGTACGAAATGCGACTTCTCGTCCCTGACTGGTTGACCACCCCTAATTTAAACATTTGTGAGCCATAATATCATGGTATGATCTATGACGCCAACCCACTCCAGCAAATCCCATATTCTTCAACACATCAGCTGCTCAGAATGAAACTATTTATTACGAAAATCAAGAACGGAAAATATTGAATACATTATTTTGAACTCAATATACCAATCCTATATTTTAGACCCGGCCTACAACTTGAATTTAAGACCTTGAACCAGACACTAGCAAATCAAATAATAATTTTCAACACCACAAGGTTATGAACAGGCGATTTAAAAGTAATAATGGCTGTGTGATATTCTCTAAATGAGCTTGTGAGATCAGATCCCACAGATATGTATAGCTTGGCATCAAGTGCAATTAGCTAATTAGTTCATGATGAAAGACAAAAAAATGCGAAATCGTTTGCTCTGTTTTGATAACTATAATATGTCTGGTGTTGGGGGAGCAGCGGTGCTACGGAAACTTCCTGAGTCGGCTAGCATTGCATGACTTCGACATCTGCCGCTTGCAGTCCCTTTGATCCTTTTTCTATTCTGAAGGTCACTCTATCCCCGTCATTCAATTTCTTGTATCCGGAGCCTGTTATCGCCTTATAGTGGACAAATATTTCATCGCCGCTACTATCCACTGTGATAAATCCGTACCCTTTATCTCCGTTGAACCATTTTACTGTTCCTTGAGACATCTTGACTTTCCGTTTAGCAAGAAATATAGAATAATGTAAGATAGTTTGCACCTTGAAGTAAAAAAAAAATTTTTGAAAGACATACTTTTAGAATTCACATATTTATCCCCAAGAGAGAAGAAAGCTTATAAGACGACTCAATCATGTAGATAACCTTGGTTACCATTCCATGTCGGGTGTGGGATTAGTCGGTTATTAGTTTTTAGAATCATGGACTTGATGGTGGAGGAAGCTGTAACTGACCAGCGGATACGTGAACCACAATAATCTAGCGATTTCCTCGCACATAAATATTCTTCACTGGATTGAGCTTGTGAACTCCATAGGGTAGTAAGATGTGCGGTGGCGAGCCTATTTCTAGCGCTTAGCACGATGCGCCGATTACGTGCAACTAGACCTCTCGCTCGTTGTGCACATACTTTACTATAAGCCTGGAAGCATGCATAGACCAATTACAACTTCCTAATGCTCAGCAGATAAAGTTGAAGAAAGTTATGCTAAGCAATATTTCTTGAATTGAGGCCGGTTTCAAGGACGCTGGCTAATTGTCCATGTTACAGCGGTTACGCCACAGTGAATTTTGTCTTTCCTAACTAACGGGTTACTCATTTAAACATTTGTGAGCCATAATATCATGGTATGATCTATATTTTACACAATAGGAAAGATAACGGCAACCCACTCCAGCAAATCCCTTATTCTTCAACACATCAGTTGCTCAGAGTTACCAGAATGAAACTATTTATTCCAAAAATCAAGAATGTAAAATATTGATTTTCAACTCTATCAAAACATTCAAATAAGCACCTCCGAAGTATGTGAACCAAGATGGCGGACACCAGAGCGTAGTATGTGTACCAAGTTAGGGTTAGGCAATGATTCTATTCTAATTTTCCTCCCTCCTTATTTTCAGAGTTTGGGGACTAGCCAAGCGACTCCCGTAGTATTTGTACCTGAAATTATGGCCTAACCTGGTACACATATTACGTTCCGGCATTCACCATCTTGGTTAACATCCCTCTGGAGCATCTCCATTTATACCGAATAATCCCATATTTTAGGTCAAGTCTCAAACTTGAAAATAAGAACTTGAATCTGACACAAGCAAAACATGAATGAATTTCAACACCACCATTGTAGTTGGATTTTAAACAAGCGATTTATAAGTAATACATGGGCAAATTCCACCTTAGGACATTATGACGGTGTGATAATAATTGAGCTTGTGAGATCCAATCCCACAGATAAGATACTCCCGAAGTATGTGAACCAAGATGGCGGACACCGTACCAGGTTAGGGTTAGGCCATAATTTTATTCCAATTTTCCTCATTTTAGTTCAATTACGAGTTAGGGGAATAGAGAAGCGACTCCCGTAGTATTTGTACCTGAAATTATGGCCTAATCTGGTATACATACTACGTTCCGGTGTCCCTCATCTTGGTTCACATACTTCAGGAGTACCCAGATATAAATAGACTTGAGTTAGCTTGGCATCAAGTGCAATTAGCTAATTAGTTCATGATGAAAGACAAAAAAATGCGAAATAGTTCGCTCTGTTGTGATAACTATAATATGTCTGGTGTTGAAGGGGCAACATTGCCACGGAAACTTCCTGCGTTCGCTAGTAGCCATCTACGACTTTGACATCTGACGCTTGCGGGCCCTTTTGACCAGATTCCTTTCTGAAGGTCACTTTATCCCCTTCAGTCAATTTTCTGAATCCTTGGCCCTGTATCGCCCTGTAGTGGACAAAAATATCTTCTCCACTATTCTCCTCTGTGATAAATCCGTACCCCTTGTCTTCGTTGAACCATTTCACTGTTCCTTGTTGAGACATCCTTGATTTTCCGTTTAGCAAGAATTATTGAATAATGTAAAGTAGTTTGCACTTTGAAGTAAAAAAAAAACTTTTTATAAGACATACTTCCTTGTCTTTCGCCTGGAACAAGGCTCTATGCCAGGGATGGCGAACCTTTTCCAATGAATGGGTCAAAAACTATATTTCTATCGCGGAACAGAAGAGTGTGGGTCACAGGTATTTAATCAAGGTTTGTATCTATGAGAAACTTCTGAAACAAATCTTATAAGCTTCTGTTGCTGTTGTTGTAGTTTTGGGTTTCACTTATGCATCACTTTAATCGGGGACTTTTTATTTCACTTGATTTTATGAAATCAGAGTATGAAAACATGCATATGAATCGGCAAAAAAGCTTAGAACGATGCGGCAAATTCCTTTCCGGATCCAAAGAGTTTGGAGGGAATTCCACTCTGATAGTTTTATATTTTTATATCAGCTTTCAACCACATTAAGGAACTTTCAAACTGCCCCATTGTTGTTTCATGATTTCTCAGTTTTTATTTCAAGTCTGGAATATTTTGATTTCTCAACGGCATTGTAGGCGAGAAACTAATAAAATGCAAAGTAGCATTGCATTGTTATGTCAGAGCCAATAGCTGAATAACGAACGGTGCATACATGCGCCCAAGATTAGAGGTTTAGGAAATTACCATACCGGCCCGGATATTAACAACTTAAATATGAGCGATCGCAGTCATGACTAACTGACGGTACATTATAATAGTTCATTTATTGTTAGATTAATTTAAGACCGGTTTTACCACTTCTTATCAGTGATATGTTAGCATTTTTATTTTATTAGTGCCTTGGCGGGTCAGTGGTTCGCCATCCCTGCTCTATGCTCTACACAGTTAATCAATATTAGGTAGATTGCGCTTACTTTTAGTTTATTGCGCAATGCCAATTTGTGCCCATATATGGAATCCCAGACTGTCTCGTAAAGGAGGGGTTTGCAGTCACTGTTATAATTGATGTCTTTCAATGTGGGGTCTCTATTCTTAGAATCAGGGAACTGTGGAATACTGTGAAGACTATCTATATTTAGTATACTTTGATACACTGCTGCATTTCGACTACCCTGTGTGCCTTTGCTGTTCGAATCTCGTAGGGGATAACCATGTGCGAAAGGATTGCTGGACTCCTGCCGTGGTAGGGTGGTTTGAGTAACTGATGGCGGTTACAGCGGGTCTCGTGCAGTTTCGTACCTAACATACTTCTAGTGGGCGTAGCATAACAATTTTTTGATATGTCAATCCTAACCCCCATCTGACTTCGCCATCCAAAAATTACGTCACTAGGATATCACAATTACGTCATAGAGCTTGCCAAATATATGTACGATCATCCGAAATGGCATTGGCACCTACAATAAAGAACTGACTGACGTTATCGACCTCTCTCCTATTGGAATCGTTGCGACGAGAAAACGAGAGAAATAACTGTTGGATTTTGGGTGCTTGTTTGCACGTCTCGGATGGCAGTTCGTATAGTTTGAAGGGCTCTATTATGTCACTGTGACGCCGTAATGACGTAATTTTTGGATGGTGTAGTCAGGTGGGAATTAGGATTGATATGTGAAAAAATTGTCATGCTACGCCCACTAGAAGTATGTTAGGTACGAAACTACATGAGACCCGGTTACAGCTTCCTCCACCATTCAAGTCCATGCATTTAAAACAAATGACTGTCTATCTCAGTTATTCCCAAACTTATTTTTAAAAAAATCCATGACTGACCAATTGCAATTTTTTCAATGATTCGCAGCCTTGAATACCGTACACGATTATGGGCGCCATTACCAAAGCATGAGAACAGGGGCGATATCATGAATCTAGAAGCAGTTCAGAGGAAGTTTACAGCACAAATAAGCTGCTGTAGAGGACAGAGTTATGAGAAGCGACTGACAACAATGTTAGAAAGAAGAATGAGAGGTGACCTAATAGAAGCCTTCAAAATACTAAATGGTTTTTGTACATATAGGAAACAATTTTTCAACAAGTCTCCTAGAACTGGTAACCTTGTCATAAGACAAAATCAGCGTTCAAAGTTGAAATTTTAGGCTGGGCGTAGGCTACTGGAACAGCTTACCAAAAAATGTGATGTCAAGTGCATCTGTGAATATTTTCAAACACAATTTGGATAAATACAGAGATTCTCAGGTGTCCAACCCAAGGACACTTGGACAATACTGGGAATTGTCAAATATGATATTGGAGAGAATTAGATATTCTAGTTTTCGACATTTGTGTATTGAATGGGTTATCAATACTATTTGGGTAATTGTCTAATGTACTTTCCAATGCTTTCACTAGTCATAATTTGTCTAGTCTCAATTGTAGTAATTTTTGTGATACTGTGATACATTGTTTTTATACAGGCAGACAGGTGTTATAGATGTTTACACCGTGGTATATTTATATTGTAGATTTGGAAGTTGTACTAGGTGTGATACCCAAAGAGGTATTATTTATTTACTTATATTTGTGCAGTAAAATAAAACATTGAAAGATCACAACAACAAAATAAATGCACCGTACAGTATAGTGAAAAACATCTCTTCACCTGCGTTTATCCCCATAAACCTAACTTTACATACAATTTGTAATACAGTAATATCACAATTTTAGTGTTAGAAGTCATCTTAAAATTAATATTACGCAGCTGAAAACATAAAACACTGAAACAGCCAAATTTTTAACTGCGTGAACATGGTTATCAAGCTCTTTTGCTTTCATTAAAAATATAAATAACTCACTCCCGACGGCTCGCCATGTGATTGAGCCGCGATTAACTTTGCTCTCCTCCTGAAATAAAATTAGGAAAACCATCCAAATCTAAAGTGGCCTCCATTAAAGGCGTTTCTGCCAGGAACACGAGGATCTGTGATGTCGACATCGACACATGGTGGCGTAATTGCGTAATTGCGTAATCTTGAAACTTTTCCCCCAACATGAAAAAGGTATTGGGTCACAGAATTTTTGCGTTACGAGAATGGGCCACGAGAGAAAAAAGGTTGAGAACCCCCGTTCTAGTGCGACAACAACCTGTTATCCGTAGTCCAGCATTTATCAGACTTTTTGTTCGTGCGGCACCAAATTATTTGGGAAAAACTGACGGCGCCCTTACATGAAAAAAAATGCCGCATTTGGATAATACTCAGTTTTCTGATCGTTAATGTGAAATTTAGGCTTTTTGAAAAGTTTGTAAACATATAGGCCTGAAGAATGAAGTCAATGTCAACTCTTTCTTCCCATCTCTGCCTGATTTTTCTTCGAAATACAAAAAAATCACTAATATTCACTGCTGAACTCGGTTCAGCAGTTCATAAATAAATTGCACCGCGCGTAATTTACGTGACAATACAGGCAGGCACTGCCTAACAGAAAGTGAGCGGCATAGAAAGGTAATACGAATTTAATGGTTTATATAGAAAAAAAATATTAAATTGAGATTTGCACATTATTGCACGCTTAGTTTACAGCACGCTACGAGGATCGTAACCAGGGTGAAAAGCGAGTAAAAATATTTCGATATTTCGCGGGTGAGGGACACGTGCCAACGGCAACGAAACAAAAAAACTGATCAAGTATCGCAGTTTTCGCCCAAAAGTACCTCTGTGTCCCAGCAACATCAGCTGAATCAGAAAAAGCATTAATCTTGGCGGGGCTTACAGTCTCCAAATTACGATCCACTCACAGGAAGACATGTGAACGAATTGAACCTTTTAAATTGCAATAAATTTTCTCTATGACAGTAAATATTTTAACTTAAAGTGGACATATAGATCTTTTTGTTATTATGTTGTTGTTGTTAGAATTCATTTTCTTATTCTTGGTATGAAAAATTATATTTTCTCATTACCTACTGGACCAATCGCTTTGAATTTTTCAGTGGTCGAAAATTGTATTTTACACTGGAGGGCTATTGCGTTTATGTATTTCAAAAAATTATGTGGTCTATAAGGGATCATTTTATGTGTGTGTGATTTAGTCTGATGTGACAGATTGAATTACCATACTACTTAGTTTAGGCTTTCACGTGTATATATTTTTTACACTGCTCTGGTGTTTGATTTCATATGGTATTGTTTAAGTGGGTATTTTTTCTCGGTTAGCTATGTCGAGGAATTGAGATTCGGAATCGAAATCGACAATTTAGGAATCGGATAAGAATCGAATACTTATAAGTAATCACACTTAGCATCTTTGGTGACAAATTGTGCGACAAGGGCCAGCGGGTCCAAACTACGGTGGATCATCACCTAGCAGTGGCATCTGGACATCGACTGACTACTGCAGGGGTCGGCCCGCGTCGGCACTATAATCCGGCCCGCGACGCTTCACTAAATTATAGTAACAAAACATCCGTTTTGACGAATATATTTTTTAGACAGAATTATATTATAACCTAACAATTATATAATTCACAATTACTCGTTTAATGAGCATATAATTTAATTATAATTAAGCAAATGGCAACAAAACGCAGAAAAGTTGATGCTAAATGCAAAGGGTTCAATGGCGCTGAAAATATTCAAATGAAATTTTATGAGATGCAATGAGGAAATAAAACTATATTCTATTCGAGAGATGTATCACTGCTCGATTTTTATTATAAAAAGTACCATCCGTTCGGTTTTAAACTTTCTAAAAGTATGTGCGGCCCGCAACCTTGCAACCTTAATTTTGGCCCGCGAGCGACAAAAGGTTGCCGACCCCTGGACTACTTTATATATTGTTGTTGTGTATTAGGCCTAAGTTTATACTTACAAATTTATTCATGTAGGTTCTTCCATCACTACACATCAGTCATGAACTGCTATTACACTCGGGCACACGTGTTTCGGGCCTTGTTTCCTTTTTGTCATATTTACATTCATATTACAGATATTGTTTCATTTATTACGATTACTGTTTTGCCGAGTCACCTGTGTGAAATGATGACTCATCATCAACGAACGTTAGTGAGACTTAAAACTAAATCTTACCGGGATGTGAACGAAATGCTTATTCATAGATAATTCTAATTTGAATGAGTTAATAAAAGTCCATATATCATATGAATGTGTCTTACCGTTAACGACTCCGGTCAACGCAAACAATAAAACGCGTTGGCATCGTCAGAAACTGTTCGAAGTAAAAAAAAATGTCGATTTGAAGATGTTAAATTATATGCCTGAAAAAAAATATAGGGCCTCCTGAAGTATGCGCACAAAGATGGCGCGCAACCTGAACTCGGGTTGTAAACTAGGTTATGGTTCAGGTTGTGCGACATCTTGGTGCTCATACTTCAGGAGCACCAATATATATATTTATATATATATATAAATGACAGCCGATAACTTTCCTTTAATGACTTTGTATCAGCATGGCATTTGTTTTTAGACATTTCGTCCTTGGCACATGTTTTTAAAAATGTGATATTTACCTTTACCATGTATGGTGGTGGACTGGTAAAATTGTAAACAAGAAGAGAACGTAAAAGCATTCGTCAATGTGGCCATACCAGTACACATTGGGTTGTTACTTATGGATCTTGATCGTTATGTCGTATAATTAGCGAGTTATTAATTAATTAGTGATAGGACACGCGGTGTAGCTATTGAGTCACAGCGAAGGATACACGCCGCTAGATCGATAAGTCGGCGGTCTCTAATCGCTATCTCGTTTACGTCTTGCTGAGATAATTATTACATTCGCTGTTTTTCAAGAAATAAATACTGTAGCCCATGACGTCATAAAATCAATTGTGAATTCAACGGTAACAATGATAATGTTTTCTTTAAACTTGGTTCGAGATAACTTCTGGGTGTCGCTGCTCGATAACCAGTCTTGTTATCTCGCGCCTCCCTTCATCGGCATCGGCGTCGAGAGAGGCCGAAACGAAAAGAGTTAAGGGACGGCACGTGAAAGCATACTAACCTAACCCTAGGTCAGGCCTGTAAGAGCGAAAGACAGTAAACTGAAGTACCATATTACTTCTTTTTTGTATTGTGTATTCACAATGTGTACTTCAGTATGGTAGTAATATAAATAAATTAGTAAAATAAATTACTGATCACTGACTGACTTCCCAATATGTTCTTTCAGATCTTCAATTTTACGAAACTGGCGACATCTCTGTTTATTATAAAGGGCCATCTGTGTACATTATGACGCCACAGGACAGATCTTCAATTTTACAAAACTGGCAACATCGCTGTTAAAGTGCTTCGTTTACAGATTGACCAGCGGATTGTAACGGACGGACCGTCCATTTTTTCTTCAATTATCACGATACCCGTTCGTGTTTTTTTCATTTTGAATATATGTTTGTGTGTTGAATGTGGGTAAACTGGCGCATGTATATTAACATGTATTGGACCTTTATAGGTTTTGCCAGCTTCCCCGAATTTTCCAATCTTCTGTGTGTTCATTGTTTGTGTTTAGTGTATGATTTTTTTTGTGGGAAAACCAAAATATACTTATGTTCGAAGCCCTAAGCAGTCCACTGATTTGTCTTACTGCACTTGCTGGATAGTATTCTAAGTGAAAAACTAAAAAAAAAAATAGTAGCTTAGTCATGGTTAAATGAAGGACCTGCTTGTACTTAGGGCTAGGCTCACTCGACCATGACGTTATAATGAAAAAGTGAGTACTTCAGACATTTTTTTTACTATTTGACTCCCGCAATATTCAATTTATTTTTTGACAACGATAGATTATCGTATCTGGGAGCATATACAGTACTTAATATTTTCATTACTGTGCATGCGTTATTCATCTCAATTTCTGTAGTGTGGCTTATTCCAACTATTGAATTAATGTTCTCTTGTCAAATTTAAATTTTATTGATTTTCTGTAACTGCAATCACATAAAACGATTTTCCTGTTTTGTGGTTGCTAACTACGCTTCATCGCGTCATGTTAATAAGCAATTTCTTTGTTGTATTTACGCCCACCCAACCATGATGTTACAAAGCAAAAGTGACTACCTTAGTCATTTTTTCTTATTTGACGCGCGCAATATTTAAAATGTATATTTTAAAATTGGATGTAATCAGCAAGTCAAGATGATATAATTTTTATTTAATAACGTTTGTTTGATTTCACCTGCTTTTCAACTCAGTAAAGAAGGTGTCGCTGACACGATGACTCACTCAAAGTGACTAGTCGCTTTGGACCAACGACTAACATGGTCTTTGGGCTTACTTTAGTCTTTCGCGGCCCCGCGTCAATTGCGGAAATATCGTATGTTTGTTTATGTTATATTTTAATTATCATGTTTGTTTAATTTTGTGTGTACAATATGCACGACGAAATAAATATCTGAATCCTTTCAAGCAGTAGCGTTTTCTATAAATTGGTTAGATACCTTAATTAGAGAGAGAGAGAGAGTTTATTTCGTCAAAATTAACTGTAAAACTTGAATAGCGAACATGGAGGGAGCTGACTCTGATGACCGTATTGTCGTATCGCTCTCTTCAGTCTATACCAAATTACTTTGTGTATATTGTATATATTTATTTATTGATTCAATGCTTGTATTTTGGTTGGCGAAATAAATCTCTCACTCCTTCTCTCTTGTAGAATAATCAGAAGGTGAAATGAACGCGCCACTTGCTTTGGCGTTTTGACAGAATAAAGAAAAAAGGTTGTGGTCTTGCCACGTGGTTATGCGCTGTAACGCCGTTCGGATGTCGAAGGTTTTGTGAGTGCGTTTTATTTAATAAGTATATTAGATAGGATAGATAGATAGGATTTACATATTTATCCCGGGGGAGAGGAAAGTCGGCTTCACCATATGGCGAACCACGGCTTCTCGCCCAGTTACCGGTACCATTCCATGTCGGGTACCGGTATGGCATTAGTCAGTTATTTGTTTTCGGAAGCATGGTCTTGATGGTTGAGGAAGCCGTAACCGACCAGCGGTTACGTGAACCACCCCAACGGCGTCGAGGAGTCCAGCAATCCTCTCGGACATGGTAACTAACTATCCCTGCATGGGATTCAAACCTGCAAACCCACGCAGAGTATGGTACCGTAATCACAGGTGCGGTGGCGGGCAGATTTTTAACACTTACAGAAGCACGATAAGTCACACCGCCGAGCCGAGCATATCAGAATATTCACTATCGTTTGCCTTTAAGTTGTTGTGGATAGGATAGGATAGGATTTACATATTTATCCCGGGGGAGAGGAAAGCCGATAAGACGGCTTATCCATATGGCGAACCACGGCCTCTCGTCCGGTTACCATTCCAAGTCGGGTATGGGATTAGATTTACTGTATTGTTTGTTTTCGGAAGCATGGACTTGGTGGTGGAGGAAGCCGTAACCGACCAGCGGTTACGTGAACCACCCAACGACGGCGAGGAGTCCAGCAATCCTCTCGCACATAACCATCCCTGCATGGGATTCGAACCTGCGAACCCACGCAGAGTAATTAGAGGTGCGGTGGCGAGCGTATTCCTAACGCTTAGCCCGTTGAGCCACACCGCCGCGCCTTGTGCATTTTACAGTGGTTTAAATGTAGTCGCAATGTCTCGCTGTAATGGACAGATACTCGGTGGGCCGGATTATTACGAAAAATACTTCGGTATCCAATCTCTGTTAAATGCTCGACACTCTCTGTCAACATTACGTTTCTTGGGATATTCCATGGTTATTGAAACTTAATATAAAATCTAATTTCTAAAATCTATTTATATTTAGAATATTAATATCTGATAACAGTAGTGGGGAATATCCACAATGCTCTCTGCTTTGACCTTATATTGTTTAACAAGTGTGCTAACGCAATTGTTCGTTCACTAAGGCAATTGTTTATTTCACCAGCTCGCACGGACAGTGCCGTGAGAGTAGAGCGATCGGCAACTTTCAGAAATGATGCGTCGGACCACATTACAGAGTGCAGTACGGCACACTATACAAATCGGGTGACATTGTCCCGTTTCTGAGAAACCCATGTAAAAATGATCAGAAACCCTTCCTTTGGTAGGCGTCTGGACATTGTTGTCCCTAAATATCGGTAATAATACAGTATAACGAAGTTGCGCAAGATACTACAAAAAAGCGCAATCTGGTAACGTCATCATTGAATTCCTCGGGGAAAAAATAATCCGATTTACCGAAGGAAAATTTTTTTTACTGAAGCTTCCGAGAGCAAGAAGCAAAAAACAGCAATTTTGGTCATGTGACGACCGTGATTGATTTAGATTATTATTGAGACAAGCATGGCGTGATATGAAGCATCTGACGTGGTCCCAGACGGCCCTCGTTTGTGAGACACATGGAGTGTTTGTTTTATTGAGCCAAATGGAGGAAAATTTTTGGAATTTGGATAGTGTGCTGTACTGGAGTGTGGTTGGATACCGGTACCGGTACAGTCAGTGGGCCCGTCAAAATCTCGTTTGTATGTTGTCCCCCCCTGGTATAAGTAGTCTATATTTTGATTTTCCCGCAAAAAATGTATGATATGTCTGAGGAAGTCTGACGAAACGGTACAAAAAGATATTTGTGTTAGTGTGCAGTAGGTAGGGCTGTCCAAAATAGAATAATTTTTTGATTCAAACCGAATAATATTGCGCAATCCTAAATTTATCTCTACTGTACCAAAATCAAATGGAGTATGGGAATCACATGCCTCCTTAAAAACTGAGTGTTGAAAATTGCAGATACTCCCAATACCTTATTTACTCAATTTTATTTACTCAATTCTAATAGATTCAGTTTTAATAGGTCATGTGTAGCCTGTATATACTATTTTAATCCTATTATCATTAATTAGTCTTAACTTATTGAGGTTCTTTTATGTAATTTTAAGCAAAATGATAAATAACCATTAATATAAATAAAAGTGTTGCCCGAAAATTTCAAAATTGTAGCTAGTTTGATGATGACATTATTATTTGATGAACTTATTGTTACTGTACACAGCCATCAAAATGCAAGAGTGCAATTATTTGCCTTGTTGATAGATGGTAAATACATCTACATCCACAATGCGTGCTTCAGCTGCGGGCAAGCAGTACCATGTTGCTATGATTACTGACTTGACATATGCAAATTGATTCTGTTTATAGAATTATCGTTTTCTGTGGATACAAAATCGCCTTTTCCTTCTGTGTACTTTTTTGAAACAAATATTGCCGATGATAACTTTTGAGTTATGACCAGGCATGATATAGCTATTCACATGCCATCGGCATTAGCAGAGACACCGTTTTATCGCAAAATGAAGGCAAGAGAATTATCGGGAAACTTTAGGTGCCGTCGCTTGCAAGATAAAAAAAACGCTGTGCAAAACAAAGGGTGCGCCCTGTAACGTACTACAGTACTAAGTCGTTGTCATAAACATTCTGCCTTGTGTTTTCAGATCTGTTATCTTCCGATATATTTATACTTAACTATCAAGATGGCCGAAACTGGAAAAGTGAAGTGGTTCAACGAGACTAAAGGATTCGGATTTATCGAGAGAGAGAATGGTGATGATGTATTTGTGCATCACTCAGCAATAGCAGGTTCTGGATACACGACACTCAGCGAAGGCGATTCAGTGTGCTTCGACGTAGCACCAAGCCCTAAAGGACCACAGGCTAAAAATGTGAAATATCAATCTTGAAGAGTAAAATCAGTGGATGGGAAAAAACATTGTGGGAACAGAACATTTTTTTTATTTTTGCTCTTTCCCATATTGTAGGGTTCGAGAGTTTAGTTCGTCTTAGATTTAATTTTCAAGCTTTGAAAAATTCTTAACTCATTTTAACATGTAGAATTAAAACATCGTGGTTTAGAAATGAGTTTTTTTTTACAACTTGGTTGTCCCTTTCAAAACTGTTCATGTAACTGCAATTTTTAATAGTCTGTACAGCGTGTTGTTGATTGGCTATTGCTACGGAAATAAATAATTAAAAGAGAAAACTTCATTATCAATTTACAGATACAACTGTCCTGTTTGCTTTATTATTAGCTCATATTCGTTTAACCACCACATAATAAACATATGCACGTCATATCAATGTGTTTTTATTAGGAATTGTTCAGTTTGTGTAGGGGCGAGGGAGAGGGGTTAGTAGCATAAAAATCTTATGGGGATGGCGAAATGCGGTCGATTTGTAGCTTGCAAAGGATGGTCTCGTAATACCGCTGTACTGTCCATATAAGTTTGATAAGATTCACATATTTATCCCGGAGCAGAGGAAAGACAATAAGACAGCTTAAGCATATGGCAATCCACGGCCTCCTGTCTGGTTACCAGTTTATGTCGAGTATGGGGTTGGTTAGCTTGGCGGTGTGGCGCATCGTGCTAAGCGTTAGGAATACAGCCACCGCATCTCTGATTACCCTCTCTGGGATCGCAGGTTCAAATCCCATGCGGGGATGATCATGTGCGAGAGGATTGCTGGACTCCTCGCCGCCGTAAGGTGGTTCACGTAACCGCTGGTCGGTTACGGCTTCCTCCACCATAAAGTCCATGCTTCCGAAAACAAATATCTGGCTAACTAATCCCATACCCGATTTGGACTGGTAACCAGACGAGAGACCGTGGTTCGCCATATGATTGAGCCGTCTTATCGGCTTTCCTCTCCCCCGGGATAAATATGTAAATCCTATCCTAGCCAGTTATTAGTTCCTGACGCACGGACTTGATGGTAGACTGGTTGAGGTAATTCGAAATGCGGTGAATTATCTGTGAAAAAACAAATCTGATCGTAATCGTCGACGCAATAAGTCAAAGCCAACATGAAAGAATATCAATCAGCACCGACAAAAGCAAGGCCTAGCTGGATGCCTAGCGAGGATGTTTTTTCACTTTACTATTTCATAACATTTTACAATTGCTATCATATATTTTGAGACAGTCTAGGGCTAGGCGGTCATGTCAATATATCTATAAAGAAATTGTGTAGTTAAACAAAATTAATACCTGCGTATGGGATAATTGTGTCGGAAATTAGTTTATCGATGTCGACGGACTGAATGACACTCGTACTTGGCGACTAACAGTCAGAATTTATACCCGTGCCAAAAGTCCATGTGCCGTTAGGACACCAATTCCACTGTATGATTCGAAACTAAGCGCCTAGTTGCCTTTTGTTATGTGCTGTGTTGATATATTTATTCATAATTACTATGTAATATTAAAAATTTGACAGCGAAAATAGCCAAATTAGTTGAGCTAGTTTGGCTGATAAATAGCTAAAAACATGTGAATCCTATTTTCTCGCGGGGATGGGGAGATGTATGGCTCATAGCTCACGATCTCTCCTCCAGACAAAAAATAAATTAAAAAGTAGTAATCCAACTTAGCTTTTAAAACATTCTGGACCATATCGAAGAGGTAAATATATCGGCCTTAATCTAACCGATACCGAAAAAATAGCCGATACATCTCTACTCTGTGCAAGCGTCACGACGAATAAATAATTGTATACCTGTACCACGAGGCTGCGATATGTATCATTTGCGCCGTACTGTACCTACTACGCCCGAACAAAATTATTTTAAATCCAGTGAGGTAAATACGTACCTGGCATATTGATATATTTCTGTACATGTATTTGCGTTATTTTAATTTTCTTAGCAGGTTTTGTGAATATTTATTTTGGCTTAGATTGTAGACTACAGTTGTACCGGTAACAGTATTGGGGTCACGTGTATTGTTGGGTTCTTGTCATAAACAGACATAGGGCCCAGTACTTTAGTATAGTTTCGTTGGTAAGCAGTTGCGCAGTGGTACCGTCGAACATATACTCCTGATACAGAATACAAAAACTTCAAAATGTTTTAACAAAAATGATATATTTTCAGATATTTAGATCTACCAGTGCCCAAAAGATTCCCTTTGGTTATATTTTGTGTATAAGCAGAACTGAGATTTTCACTGCTGCACTGTGTTCCGGTGTATGTTTCTTGTCATCGGCTAATGCACAAGTTCCTGAAGTTGGATCAAAAAAATAGGCAAGAAGCGAATAGATAGCAGAAGGTTGGCTGGATATTTTGATATACACCAATGTAAAATCATATTGCATGTTATTGGTATGCTGTATGTACAGATGTACGATATTTATGGTATCAATGATTCTGACTCGTGCTATATAAAATGAAACTAGAATATTGTAGTACCATGCCCATGAATTTCACCAAATGCTAGAATGAGTATATTGATAACTATAAATTGCCAATAACTTATCATGAATGCCAGTGGCGGCGCGTCAATAGAGCCAACCGGGGCAATGCCCCGGTTGTTTTTTCGGTATAATAAAAAATATTCGGAAAATACCTCAATATCGGTTGCACAGACTGTCTACACTAGCCATATTCTTCCGACATGGTTCATTTTTCGCTCGCAAAGCCTTCGCCGAACGTCGACAGGGCGACGCCGATTTTGCCCCGGTTGCTCATTGTATATCGTCTTCTCTCTTTTATCTTCCACTCGCCGCGTTTGTCTCGTTTGTTTTCTGTTTCTTTTACTAAATCATCGGGGCTAGCCCCGAAATTATGACGACACAATGCCGACGTTTCTTACAACAACGTGTTGACATATTCACGCATTCATTCTCGTTCGTTGGTTGCTTGTAGAGTTGATAGTTTCCCCGCCTTCGTTTTTGTCGCTTGTTTCGCTATTTGAATCAGTTTAGAGACCTTTAGTCCATTTGCTTTCGATTTTCCACATTCCTTTTGAGCTCCTCACTTCTTTCCGGCTTCGCATTTCTTAGCCTTAGACCTCATAATGAATAAAGTTGATGCACTACTTCGCACTCCGTTTTCGCAGCTACCGCTGGAACAAAAATTAGAGGTACAACGTCTTGGGCCTTATCAACCAAAAAATTGTTCACTGGAACAATCCCATGACGGAGGAAAGCGTCGGCGTACATTCTGCGCAGAAACTTGGTATAAAAAACACGAATGGTTGTGTTACAGCGAGGACAAAAATGCACTTTTTTGTTTTTATTGCCTACTTTTTGCTACCGCCCGTGACTCACGTTGGTGTAAATTTGGTTTTAGAGATCTTAAACATCTTTCCGAGCGTGCCAGGGATTATCAATCTTCTATGGAGCATCTGGACAATGCAGTAAAATACCGAACATTCGGAAATATTGATATTGCAGCACAGTTGGATGAAGGACGCGCGGTTTCTATTCGTCATCACAACCAAAACGTCGAGAAAAACCGCCATGTTTTCGGTCGATTGATAGATGTTTTGAAGTTCATTGGTTGTCACGAGCTGTCCCTCCGTGGGCACGATGAACGGGCTGGCTCTTCTAATAGAGGGGTATTTTTGGATATGGTGGAATACACCGCATTCCTAGATACAGTATTGAGAGATCATCTTGATGCCGCAACTGTTTCGAAAGGGACATCTAAGGATATCCAAAATGATTTGCTCGACTCAATGTAGTAAAATTTATTTACAACATTTGGCTCTGGAAATTGAGAATTGCCAGTTCCTTTCGATTCAGTCTGACGAGACAACTGACATCACGTGCGTTTCCCAACTGACTGTGATTTTTCGGTTTGTGAAAGATGGTAAACCTACCGAGATTGTACCAATCGTTGATCGCACGGCTTGCGGGATATCGGCTGTACTGAAAGAAGTGTTACAGCCTTACAACGCGAAGTCAAAATTGATAGCTCAAACTTATGACGGCGCGGCAGTCATGAGTGGGTCGAAACATGGTGTTCAAGTTTATATAAAAGAAGATTTTCCTCATGCGCATTTTTTACATTGTTATGCACACCAATTTAACCTCGTTATTAAAAATATGTGTCTTGATACCCCTCTCGTCCGTATATTTTTTGCAAATGTTTCGGGGTTTGCTTCATTTTTTTCCGTTTCGCCGAAGCGCTCTGACCTCCTTCGCCAGATATGTAGCCGCCGTCTCCCAGCTTGTGCACCAACACGTTGGAACTTCCAATCACGCGTGGTGCAGGGCGTGTCCGAAATTAGGTCTGAGCTCATTGAGTGTTTCAATGGCATTCAGAGCTCTCCGGTTTGGGACGAACGCTCTGTGAGGGAGGCGGCAGGTCTAAAGCGTCTGCTAGAAGATGGTGAGTTTTCATTTTTTCTCCACAATATTCTATCACGTGGATGTATTATACGGCGCATTGCAGTCAAGGCTAATGGATGGAGCGTCTGTGCAGTCGTGTATTTCAGACTTCTGCGATACTGTATCTCGTATCCGGGAAACAATAAAATACGACGACACATGGAGTGCTTTTTTACGCCGCGGGCAAACAACGCAGCGTTTGATTTTGTCTGCAAAGGAATGCTGTGACATTCTGGTGAATCAAATAGGCGATCGTCTGCGCACTGAACACCTTGCCGCGTTCTCTTTGATAAACCCCAAAAATTTTTCAAAATTTGCACGTCAATTTCCCATCCATTTGTTGGCTACTGTCTCCAAATTATACCCCATGATAAACGTGGGTAAATTGGAAAATGAATTGCGATGTATATACACCAATCAAACTTTTTTGAACATCACATCAACTTGCGCGCTCTATGGGTTCCTCATAGATAACACTCTAGTAACTACCTTTGCGGCGTCTGCAAAATTTCTGGACATCATTTTGACGACGCCTATTTCTTCCGCCGACGCAGAGCGAACATTCAGCACGCTGAAGCGTATTCAGAAACACAATGAAGCAAGATAGATTAAATTCCTTGGCTGTTTTATCCATTCACAGAGACGTTATTGCTGGGATGCATGACTTTAATCAGCGCGTTATTGAGCATTTTGCTTCCAAGAAACCGCGGCGTGTTGCATATATGTTCAAGCAGTAGAAGTCTAGCAGCATATATATCTATGAGTGAGCGACGCATGTCCTTATCTTTGCATTAACTTTCCTTTCTTCATAGTAACGTTTTAAACCTTATTTTAGGTTTTGTCTGCTTTTCCGAAGTTTCTGTTAATATGTCATTGTATTTATCTGGGTAAATATTGCCTTTCCTTTTGAAAGAGGTTTCAAAATAAACTATGTCTATATTTATTAATCCCTTGACTTGGACCGGTTTTAAAGACACTTTCTTATCGTTAAAAATTGTCGTTTTTGCCGATTGGTTGTTACCGATGGAATGGTTTTTATACTCATAAAATGATGGGAGAACTTACAGCGCTCATCCTGTCCCCGTAGATGGGGGTGACTTGGTCCCGCAGTAGCTTGCCCCGGTTGTCAAAATAACCACGCGCAGCCACTGATGAATGCAATGGTTCATGCAGTGATGAGCTGGAAAAATCGTAACAACCGGAACGCACCAAATTCGTGAAAATGTAATATATATATATTTACAACACGACGCTACCAGTAATTTTGTCTGTCGTAAGATAGAGCCGAAGAACCATAATGAAATATGAAAAAATTATCTGAAATATGAAATTAAAACTGAAAGAATATTCATACTAAGTCAATACAAATGTTATTATTAGAAAGGTATTGGATGAATTTTACACAGGGGTCAAACGTCGGCGAAACATCCATTACACGTTACTGCTGTGCACTAATTATTTGCCAGCTGTAATGTAAAAAGAATTATGATGCAACAAAACATCAATTAATAACTAAGTTTCCCGCAGAAACTAGACTTTTTGAACCATAATTTTATTTTAACAACAGGAACGCAAACGCAATAAAATGTCCAACACCCGGAACGCCGTTCCAGTGCGTTCCGGCTATCATAACTATTTCTTCAATGTAATATCGTTTTCTGATTTTTCATTTATTTCTACAGCTGTTTCAAGTCAAGTAAACTGTCTAAGGGAGTGCCATGATGATGATCAATTTCATCAGCTATATTAGAAGAGCAAATTTGTGAGTTTGTCACTATTTGAATGCCATATTATTTGTATGTAAACTGTCCTAACTTTATGTCTGCAGTTTTCAGTAAAAAAAGAATATCAGCCTTTTTAGTATCAGCTGTTGAATGAAAGTTATTTGTAGTTTGTGTGTATAATCTGTATTAATCGTATAATGTGAGGATACTTTTATCAACCAAATGTTTAAGGTAAATTTCTTATTGGTATTATCACAGATCTGTTCAAGTAACCGAGATGTGACAAGCTTTTCAAAATCATTCTCATTGGTCATTTCTTGTTACATGCAGGCAAAACTAGTGTCACATGATTTTAGAGTAAAGCAAAGTTGTTAGACATGCAATCACAATCGAAGTTTTGCAGTATAATCAAGAGCCTTCATTAAATATCTGAAAACTAAAAATACTCTACTGTTTTACTTTTCCAAATTCGAATAATTAAATATACATTGGATTTCATGTAATTCAAAAATATCATTTTCGAGTACAAATTCGAATACAAATTATTCTGTTTTAGTCATTGCCTAGGTCGAATTTGCTTCAATATCTGGCGCACTTCATCAATATACTATCTTTAACCCTGTATTTTTATTTATATTGTTCAGGTCATGAAGACAAACAACTGGATATGAATATGATTATGGTAAGAGTGTTGTCAAGTCAAGGTTGCCACAATGCATCATTCTACGCCTTCGTGTCCAACAAATATGTGGAACCCGGTTAGCAAACAAATAATTCTTGCATGCTGAAACACTCGAAGGAAACGTAGTAATGTCAATTTTTCGTCACTTGGCGAGTCTTCCGCAGAAGAAATAAATAAAACTTTTAAATAGCAATGAAACCAACAACTATGATTGCACATGTGTCTGTGTGCATTACGTTGACACATTCCTGTCACAAAGCTGTAAGGCCAGGATAAAATTTAGCACCTCTTCCGAATTGATTCTATACTTTTTCCATTTCTTAAATGTCAATACATTTTAGCAGTCATTTGAACAAATGAATATTAGTTATTTTTGCAATACAAATTTCAAAATAATAAAATGTTAAATATGTGGAAGCCTGTGGCCCAGAACTTGCCAGGGATAGGTTTTCAACTGAAGTGTGTTTATTTTGTCTGTTTCATTCGAAGTAGGATGTGGGTTCT